ACCCGGAATCGAACCCGGGACCTTTGAATGAGAGGCCAACACCTTAACCTCTAACTCTAGGCCACGAGAGCCCCCCCTAAGCTAGATCTACCCACAAACGCAAAAGAGCTCCAATTTACTCGGCGGCAATTGACAAAAAGTCAATTTTTGTCAATTGCCACCGCGTCACTCGGTGGCAATGGGCAATTGACACTAGATTTCTAGATCTAGATTAGATCTACCAAAATTATTATATATTGCGACTCTGAATTGAGAGTTAGAGTCTAGATCTAGAGCCTATGTACGGCATACCGTCACCTTAGTGTTTTGTGATGACTATTTCCGGAAGTGAACTTTTGTAGTACCATAACTTCGGCTCTTTCAAAAACATCGACCCAAAATTTCGTTTTGTTGAGAGGCCAGCCTTTCCTGTAGGTGTGGGGTGAAGATTTTAGTCAGATAGTGTATAAAGAAGACCCCCTAACCGAGACTTGACGCATGTCCTGACATGTACCCTATACCGTCACGTGTCGGGTTTTCTGTCATGGTATGTACCCCATACCGTCACCCACTACACCCCATACCATCACACCCAAATTGAAGCACAACTAGGCATTTGAAAAGAGGAAAGAAGGAAAGACGAACTCCTTTTGTACAGTGGGCCTAAGAGTACTACTAAGACAGAACTAATGTTTATTGACATACTAAAAAGAACAACCACCAAAGCAGACACACATACATCTTACTCACACATAGATCTAGGTACATGAATGTTTCATTTTACTCTTCCAGACATATCACAAACTCATATGAACATCTTCCTCACACACAGGTACATGAATGCTTCATTTTACTCTTCCTCACATATCACAACAAACTCACTTGAACATCTTTTACTCACACACAAGCACTTGAATGCTTCATTATACTCTTCCACACATATCACAAACTCATATGAACATCTTCCTCACACACAGGTACATGAATGCTTCATTTTACTCTTCCTCACATATCACAACAAACTCACTTGAACATCTTTTACTCACACACAAGTACTTGAATGCTTCATTTTACTCTTCCACACATATCACAAACTCATATGAACATCTTCCTCACACACAGGTATATGAATGCTTCATTTTACTCTTCCCCACATATATCACAACAAACTCACTTGAACCAGATTCGTTTAAAATCGCTCTTGTAAAACCTTTGC